ACTAGCTATACAGTGAAGGAATAATCTCAAATAATAATTTCAGAGCAGGAAAAATTAAAGACAATAATTTTTCCTGAGAAAACCAGTGATTGTGAGCCTATAGCCAGTCTTAAAATTCCTCAGTGATGTACTATTATACATAAGAAAAAAATCAGTTGGCCATACTAAAAAAAAAAAAAGATACATTTATCAATCAGAAAGTAATGAAGTTTCCATCATGTGTTTATTACAGTTTCTCATGGTCATGATACTTATGATTTCACTTTGGGCATCCTCCAGAGATTCATGGGAGTAGATATTTCTGAAACAAGAAATTGCATCTGGCTAAGACTCTGAGAAGACACCATTGCTGAATTAAGATAGAGAAACTTGAATTTATTTTAATGTTTTCTACTGAAATAATTAGTTCATAATAGCAAGACATACTGAGTTATACACAAAGATTCTACAGTACACCTACCTACTACATTGCTCAGCATGCCTAGAAATGACCACATACTAAGTGTATGAAGTCGCCACTTCACTGTGATAAATTGCACTGACAAAAGAGTAGCATAATATTCAAAAGGGAAAACTGTATTTCATAAATAGATGGTCTTTGTTGACAATAGAGAAATTAAGTTTAAAAGAAAATATGAAACTCAAAATTTGGCACATATATAGTTATATATAACTGAACAGGTTATTTAATTTTTAAAGGAAATACTTAATATAAAACAACTGTTCTTAAATTATTCGGTGACTGGTCTTATTAGTTTACTTTGAAATGTAAATCACTGATCTAGGGAAAGGTTTTTTTTCCTAACCCTTTGAAAACACTTAAGCACTGGTGTATATAATTACTTTAGAAACAAAATTTTAAATTTGGGTACATGTATATTGATACATTATTGTTCATATTATTGTAACTAAATTTGTGCATTTTTAGACCCAATGTTTTTCTTTAATTTGAACTTGCCTAGATTAAAAATAGAATTCATGTGTGATGATTCGGTTTTATCAAAACGATGTTAAATATTAGTCTGTATATTAAGATTTATCTTAAATTTTACCTATTGTGTATATAAATAAAGAGACCCTGTTACTCAAACCCTATAGCCAAGGGGGTTGGCACCATGAAGTATATGTTTTTAAGTTGTAGTCAATGCGGAGGTGCAAGAGCCTACGATCTTGATAAAGGAGAACAGGAAGATATTTGAGATATGACTACAGGGTGGTATGACTGATTATTTTAATTAATATAACCTAATAGTCATCAAAATCAAATGCTTCAAAGGGATCATCTTGCCAAATATTAAGTACGTGTTTCAGTGATGCTACCATTGCCCCAACCAGTATTGGATGTCCTCTTTTGATAATTGCTTTTAGAAGCCACTGCCCACTCTTTTGAACATTTTTATAATGGGAAATCTTTGTCCAATAAAGATTTGGGAAATTGACGCAGAGTTGAGTCTGCTGAACATAGATATTTCTGCTCTAGGTTCAAAAATAAAACATATAAGAATATTTTTCTAGCAGCTAATAAATGCACTTTGAAGCGATTCCAGAAGAAGAGTTTAATAGATGTTTTAAGCATTGGAGAGGAAGGAGTGTAGTGGCTTCAGTGAAACAGGAGTGTAGGCTTTCAGGACAGTTGCTGCAAAAAACACCATTTAACATGTCTCATTGCTTCATGGTCAGTAACTTTGTAAGGAGAAACAGAGAAAGAATGTTGCTAACTGATTCTCCAGTGAAATCTCCAACTGGAGCTAGGACTTTAACATACAGACTGAATGTAAGGTGATTTGACTTTACTTCTAAAATGTTCCAAGAAGTGCTTTGGCATCTCAGAATATTCTCAACAGATGTTTACAATTTCTCTCTACTGAATGAGGAAACGAATGCATGTACTTTGTGAATATGGGCTGAGATTGAACTGGGAGGCCTTATCAGGTCAAAAGAAAGCCTTCAGCTTCTATACACAAACATCTCTTGGATATTCTGATGAAACTGTGGAGAGTCCTACTAATGGCTTATTTTCACCCCACTGAATCTTTGAATCTTTGGGAAACTATAGGAACATCCAAATATTTTCACATGAAGGCTCAAGGGAGAAAGTCAGGAAATCTCAAAATTTTACAAAGTACCAAGTGAGAAATATTGTAAAATCTCCCATCTTGGGAAATGTAATGTTCTTAAATGTTTCAGAAATAGAATCCAAGAAAAGTAACGTTCTAAAAGCTGAGAACCCTCAGTAGAAAGCACTACATTTGATACTTAACCAACTTCAGGCATGACAAGTGAAACATTCTGTCAAAAAGTGGTCCACTGCATCTACCACAAATAAACGTTATCATTGTGAATTAGAAGTGTATAAAAAGAAATGATTAAAATGTTACTGCCAACTCAATTTCAAAAATCCAACATCTATTTCATTGAACTAAAATTTATCTTAATAACAATATTATTTTATTTCAACTTAAATGAGAAATAGTTCTTCCTTCCTACCCCACCCCCACCCCCAAAATAACATGAATATAACACATATCACGAGGGGAAAAATCATATTTAATCCAACGGAAACTATTTTGCGAACTAGATGCTAATCACGTTTAGAGTATTTGGGTCTGGTTATCCAATTTAAAACAAACATTCAATTTTTATTTTCATGTCACATGCATGAACTGAGATAATGTTTTCTTCAGGAAGAAGGAAATAACACTTTGTATATACATCACTATAGTTTTGCAAGTTGGTCTTTCAGCAGGCTTTGGAAGATATAAAAGAAAAGTCCATTTTTTTTTAATGCTTTGATAAATGAGTCATTTGAGAAAAAAATGTGATCATGCATAGAGAATAAAATTGTTTAAAATAGTCTGCTTTCTGTATCATCAACAGTTTAAATAATTGGGTAAAATATGCAGCAGTTTCCATTTTTACTCTATTTCTAAAACAAATTGATTCAAATAATGTTATAGTATTGTTAAAAGTGCTAAATAAATACCAATTTGGGTACAGTGCATTGTTGTCTTATGTATATCTAAACATATGAAATTCTAGTTAGAGATATGGAAATTACTCAGGGATTATATGTGATTTGATCCCAAGAGGCCACATAATAAAATAATATAACAGAAGAAAATTTTAATTTTAAAGAAAGTGATAGGGATTAGAATTATTAAATTTTAGTGTTAAAGCTAAAGCAATTTCTAATTTGTCTACAATCCTTAAATCTGATATAAGAGAAAGTATTCAGGAAAGATACCTTCAACTATATAAGTGTGAATATTTGGTCCACCTTAAGGATTGTTAGTTCAGTGAGGGTACTGAGCAAATTTTGATATTTTTGTTACTACTAAGCTTATTATTTGCAGGCAATCGAAAGAAGAATTAACATTAGAGCATTTTTTTTTTCTAAAAAATGAGAAACAGAAAATGTACTTTATAGACACTACACAATTTTATTATTGCAACTTAAGCCAGCTACTTTACATTCTATCTACTAGCCTAAGATACAAGGCAGTCTAAATTTGCCAACTGATGACTAAATTAAAATTTTTTCATACAGCAGTGACTCACTCTCAAGTTTCTTTTAAGAAACACAGATTCGTAAAGGAACTGAACTAATCAGTAAAAATTAACAGGTAATATTTGAAAAAATCAAATCTAATGAAAATAAAAGTAGAGCAGCAGATTTTGTTTTTTAATTATCTGTATCAGCTAGCATATACAAATACACGGCTTTTCAGCTGAATTGCTGCATTTATAAAAATGTATGCACGACATCATATTTTAAAAAGTAGCCATCATCTAACACATAACTTGGCACTTTTTTGTTAGTTAACTGTTCCACTCAAATTAGGTATATTGATTTAAAAGTCTTAGACATAGTTTATTTAAATCTGTGTTAAATATGACATTAGAAAGTTGTTAAAATAAAACTACAAAGACAAAATTTATAAATATAATATTTAATGCCAAACGTTTAAAAATGTTAAAAGAATGTAATGTCCAAATTTAAAGTCTAAGCTAACAAATCTAGGAGACCCCACAAATAGGAAATTTTGATTAACAATTGAATAAAATTTTGAGTACTTAAAAAAATAATTTGATAATAAAATCTAATTTATAAATGCAATCTAATTTTTTGAAAATTATGCAAAAATAAGTTATACAATATGAATAAATATTTTGTATAAAAAATAATTTAGTATTCTTATTTTCTATTTATTATATTCAACTTAAAAATTACATTTCTTGTGCATATTTTGGAGAATCATGATTAAGAGGTGGAATTTAACAAGAAAATAAAAACTTTTGCATTCATTCCTGTGTTTTATATTTTTAGAGGAATATTATTATTAATGATTTATTTTCAAGGTTACTACTGTTTTTATCCACTAAGTAGGAAAGACTTCACCAAGATGAGTTTTAATAGTGTCTGTTTCTGTTTTGTATAAGCCTTGATTTCTGTGTTCTTCTAGGACAATTATAGTTGCTAGAGATTATTTAAAATGTCATTTTCAGTGGATATCATGCTGTTTCTACAAATAATTATTTCTCTTGAATTAGAAATTATTTATCTTTAATATTAAAGTAATAATTTTAGTATCTGGCCCTTTTAACTATTTTTGTTTTCAACAGCAACAACCCTTACTTTTTCTTTTTTTTTTTTTTTTTTTTTGGCCATGTAACTACCATTTCTGGCAAAAAAAAAAAAAAAAAAAAAAAAAAAGAGTTGTCTTTACTCCTGAATGTTTTATCTTTCTAATTCATCCTTCTTTCCTCCCTTCTTTTCTCTCTTTCTTCCTTCTTTCCCGTTTCTTCTTTTCCCTTTCTTTTTTGCCTTCTTTTATTTTTGCCGGATAACGTTACTGAATTAAGTAGCTGTTTAGAGGGAGGAGTAAATGTTACTATCTGTAGTCAACTGGCAAGAAAAATGAAAACCTTTATCACATGAGAAGTATTTAAAGTAAACAGATTTACTCAGAGGAAGGCCTGAAAAAACAAGGAGTAGAAGTTACAGTCTGGCACATGAACTTGAATCTTGTTTGGGAATTTTTTGGTGGAGTGTCTTTCTAAAATGCAGTCTGCTGATTTATTTATTTATTTTTTTTAAAAGGCTGACAGTTAATTAGCAGAGAGTCTTATTACAGAAGTCTCCTCTAAAGCAGACATATTCAAGTTATACTGAGGTGATTGTCATAAAGGGGTTGTTTGCTGTGGCGCTCACAGATGGCAGAAAAGACAGCCCAGGAACGCAAACAGCCTGATAATCAAGATAGCTTTAAAATATGGGTGAGTTTTCAACTCTGATTCTGGCAGCAGTCTCTTTTCAAATATCTTGGGTTTTATGTCCAAGTGGTTTACTTTAAAGCAGCATTGTCATCAAAGGGGTCCCAGAGTCAAGAATAATTATGATAATTACCTAGAATTGCACCCCCCTAAATAATCATAATAATAATCCTGAATCTTAACCAAGTATAATATTGTTTGTGCAATACACTGCTACATTCAAAAAGATTAAGTGCTAGACAACTACGATTTATTCTTAACTGACAAAGTAGCTATAATTGTATGACTTTCTAGGATAATGGTTTAAACAAAAGTAAATAGTAAAAAAAAAAAAAAGTCCCCCCCAACCCCAGAAAAAGATTGGAAAGCTTAGCTGTGTTTAGTGGCCATTGATGAAAGCAGTGTTCTCTGATCCATGCTGCTATTGTTGGTTTTAGTTTAGCTCCCTCTCAATCAATATCTAACAGGGCATGATTTAATAAGGTTTTATAATCTCCAAAAATGGGGGGGGAGGGTGGTTGTGGTATTGTCATTCATCAAAGGGGGCCTTTCAGGTTTCTTTGCTTTCACCTGCTGGGACCCATTTGGTCTCTTTCAAAGAGAATGCAATGACAAAATGAATGAGAAATGCTAGAATAAGAGTCCCTTATTCTACCCAATAGTATAATCAATGGGTACTTGTAATCCCTATTGTACCTCACAGAGGTAGTTGTAAGACAATTAAATCTCGCTTCTCAGGCAAATGATTTTGGTAGTTAACCTGAAACAGCCAACAATATTGAAGAGAATGAATGCATTTGAAGCAGTGATGTAATGGGATACTGCTTGGCCAGAAAAGCATGTATGTGTATTGATGTGCATATCTATATGTATATACTTATTTCAATACTCTATGTCCAGAGTTTTCATGATTCATAGTTCCTTAGACATCACATGGGTAAGTGGCAAGGATTTTAAACAACTTCATAATTTACCCTTTTAATTTCTATTTTTAAAAAAACGTTAAAATATTCTTATTTTTGTAGGATTATATACTCTAAACTGTAGTTTCATAAACAGAAAACATTTACATAGTTAACATCAGTTTGATGTGACAACCAATTTAGTTTTAATTTCATTTGCATCAGCTAAATTCAATTTCTCTTTCCCTCCGTAAACTGAATTGCTTGAATGTTGAAAGGAAGCTCGTAGTCTTTCGAAGAGATACTCATTTCAGCCCGCATTATGTGTCCACCTCCAGTTGTGTGGACTTCTTCCTATTTTATTTCAAGTGTAGTCTATCAGGATACTCATGGTTTATCCTTTTTAGGAAGGAATAAGCCAAGTGACAAAATGGCATATCGCACACAAACTCTAAAAGATTTGTGAAGAAAACCTGTGTTAGGAAGTCTTATACTTATTGATAAATATTAAATACAAAGTAAACGGAGCAAAGAGATTGCTATATCAGAAACATAACATAAACACACATTTTAGTTCAGGAATATTTAAAATTTAAAATGTTTAATAATTAAAAAATTAATGGGCCCTTTGTTTAGTATAATTTAAATATAAATTTTAATTTCTTATATCTCATTTATGTTGAAAATATCCATATTCCTTTGCCAAAATTCTCTGAGAAGCCTCAACTAGTTGTTGTTTGCAGTTAGGCCAAGATTTATTCCTGAGACAAAATTCTGCATTTAATTACATACACAAACATGTAATAAACATACTTATATTTCTGAAGGTACACATTTTCTTCTCCACCTAAAGGGGTTTTAATAAAGAGCTATTGACTTGGGAGATCTGTACTCCAAAAATATCTTGACCTAAACATACAAATATCACAGATGTGTGCTGTGCACAAAGTGCTTATGTCTTTTCATTAAGTTATGCAGACATGTAGCTTCCTTATACATAAATAAAATCGCTCTCCATTGATGCTTGTACACCTAATTCTCTCAATTATTCTTATATATTAAAAAGCAACTCTCAAGGAACTAGGCATGTTGCCCTATATGACTTCCAATGCAGAAATATTGGTACCAGAATTCTACATTCTTGTAGATGATTTTTTAAACCTGTTATTTTGCTATGTTTAGATCATAGAGGAATAGAAAAATCTTTTGGAAAAATAAATTGATCAAAAAAAAAAGACGTGTTAGCTGTGAATGCTGAGTTTAGTGAAGAGTGAAGCACCTGACTCCTCTGGATACTTCCAAATGAGTCTGGCTAATTGGGGTAACTCAAGCCAATGGCCATTTGAAAGACTCGAGGTCAGGTGTTTTATTGCTGGGATAGTATTCAAAAAAATGACTGTCAGGGGTGAACGAAGAATTATGTCAAGAGCATTCAGCATTACTGCCACTAAAGAGAGAGGAGGGGAAAAACATTGTGAAGAAAAACATGTCATTTTCTAAATGAGCTAGGGGAGGAGGGTAAGGGCAATAATGTGGCCTTCAGCTGTTGGTTTATTAGGTTTCCATTCCCATGATCCACATCTGCTTTAGGCAGAAATAGTTTTACTTTTAATACAGTTGCACTCTACCAGTTTGCTTTCTCGTGGAGTAAAAAATAGCTGTGAAAAACGTGCAAATGGAGTTTGTTCTGTGTGGTTGTTTGTTTCCCCATCTCCTATGCTGTTTTCCTGGTTCTATAGCAAGTCTTAGCATTGTTGTCTGATTTGCCATGGAACAGTGAACATTGCTTTTCCTAGCCAAATCATCCAGTGTTAAATGCTATGTGATACAGATCAATAGGGCATCTGCAGCTGTACAAAAAGGGCAATGTTGTTTCTATTAACAATTCTGAAAGAGAGTGTGGCCTAGTGGTTAAAGGATTAAATGGGTTGCTGAGGTTTTTAATGTCTAGAATTCAAATTCTACCTGAGCCTTTGGATTCCTGATGAAGTTGTCAAGATTCTTTTTGTTTTGATCTGTACCAATAAACTCACAGGTTACACACTTGAGGATATTATCATCATGTGGTCATTCAATAATAATAAAAATCTGGAGGACTGATGAAGATTGGAAAAACATCTTGATGACTTCAAAAAATATGTTGCTTCAAATATGCAATCAGATTAATTACTAATATTATTTTTCACACAATGGTTCTGTGTTTCAGGCTGTTCCTCCATCTTGCCTAAGCCCATTTAGCAAACTAGGGCAAGGGCTTGTATTGGTTCTGGTTATCTGGATTTTCCTTGAGGAAAAGGATATGCTTTGTTTCCTGTATAGACATAACTTGTCAGTGGCATTTGAATGAACTGTAATGTAGAAAAAGTGGTTGGCTTTTTGCTGCCATTGCCAACGCCAGGTGCAAATGGCTGTTTTTAAGGATTAGCAATACATACCCTTCTTTATTTCATTTTGGGGTAAAGGCCTGTGTGAGTGTATGTGTGTGTGGTTATGTGTGCACATTTGTCTATGTGAGAGGAAGAGAGAAACCGAGACAGAAGAGTTTGATAGAATTGCATGTTGCTGTGGTTAAGTAAGCTAACCTTTGAAGTAGTATAGGCCCTCCTATCATATTTCCTGCAGAATCAGATTTCTGAATTTCAGTTAATCTGAATTCTGTCTTCCTTCCTCCTTTTCCCTCTGTCTTTGTTTCTCTCTCTCTCTTTCTCTGATTTTCTTTCTCTGTCTCATTCTTTCTCATTCTCCCCCATCCCCAGTTCATTTCAGAAGAATGTTACATGTTTTATAAACAGTTCACTCAAGCAGCAAAGAGAAGGAGCAAAGAGACATATTATTCTTGGAACAAAGAGATATATTATCTTTGTTGTAATCAAATAATAGAAGCCCAACATTAATTTTATTCAAATATATCTGCCTTTTGGCTTTAGTATACTTTATTTTACTCTTTTATTTGCTTAGTTTCATACTCCATAAAAGTAGCAATGTAGCCCTTTATAGTTGGAGACTGGTGGAAACCTAAGGGTGCTGAGACTGATGAGACTGCCCATGGAAATGGAGATTGTGGCTCTCACTTTGGTCTTGGTGGTGACTCAGCCTTGGTCACGGATTAAATACTTAGGACAGGGCATTGTGGGAAGACTGTGAAAACACTTGGAAAACTAGAATTAAAATACTATGTTGATGAAGTTTTCTTGAATTTTGGAAAGTTGACTTAAGTTTGTGTGAAGAAATTAAATGAAATAACCAACAATCAAGTATAATTTCTTCCCTAAATTAATGGGGAATTTTAAAAAAACATTTCTTCTATATTATTCATATTAAAGAGATATGAATTTCAGTCACCTTCAGATGCTTTACGCTTTCTCTGGCCTTCTTTAAAATCTCCTTATTTTCCTCATTTGTTCCAACAAGATTTTTATTAAAAAAAAATGTAATTCAAACATTATATTCTGGTCTACAAAAGAGTTATTTTGCAGTTTTTAAAAGGAAGCATACTTATTAACAGTTTTCAAATTATTGGTGGGTCTCTGTTTAGTTTTTCTTAAAAATATACAATGTAGAATCTTCACTACAGCATTAAGTAAAAAATTTCTAGGTGACAAAAACTTAAGAGCTTATTTCTATATAATCACAACTCTGCTATTTAATGTTAATTATTATTACAGGCATGAATATTTAATAAGCTTAATGATTAAATATTCAACTATTTGAATATTTAATTATTAAATTATTTGATATTCAGTTAATTTGGCCAAATAAGACAATCAGTATTAAAGGACTCTTTCAGAACAACCAAATAAAACAAACTTTTTACTTAAGTGCGATTCCAATCCATAGATTTTCTTTTATATTTTATAAATTCCAACATTACAGAGAACTAGTTGACAAACAAGAATTCATTGTATTACTAATAGTTTCCAATATTAGTTATGTCTTCTTGGTGTGACTTCAAATATAATTTGAATTTGAATTTTTCTGCTTCTCTTATTGCATCTACAAAAGCATTTACAACATTTTTTACTCTTTTTTCTTTCTGGTTGTTTTGCATCTCTGGTAGTATCGAAAGTTTCATCAGATTCTTTGGACATAAGAACACAAAAA